CGCACGCGAGGCGCGCATTGATGGAGGTGGAAGAAAAGGGATTAGGAGAGTAATGGTGAGGTCATTGAAGCTTGGAAGAGACGTTACATTTACACACAATTCTGACAAATGTACAATAAATAAAATCCCTTCACCAATATCCCGTGTTTTTTTCGCCTAAATCGAATAATTAAATATTATTACGCATTTTGGAATGATAAAAATCAATCCAATATGCTATTTAAAATTATTAATATCTAAACAAATTATAAATTGCATTAAAAAATTGTTGGACTCCAAATATAATTCTTGAAATTCAAGCAACAAAAAAGCAATTAGAGATAGAGTTTTAACTAAGAAACAACTCGATTAAATTTATATACTTTTTTTAATAATTATTTACGTTTTAGTTTCTGAAGAAATGCGGGTTTGTTAATTAATTAATTAATTAATTAGTGATATTAGCAGCATTAATTAATGGTGAATCAAACATTCCGTCTCTTCATAAAAACCTTCAATTAAAATTTGCTCTAAAGTTTTTTTAATTTAATTGCCCCATTTATTTTGTCTCATATGATAATTAGTAATTAAAGTTTTTGGTATAAGGTGTGATTAAATTATTAATTGTTGTGACTTCTTATTCCAACTTCCATAATCATGAAGTTTGCTTAATTATGAAAGAACTGTTGGTGGTTAATGTGATTATTAATCAGAAAATCCATTGCTAACTAACTTGTTCAAATGGAATTGGGGTGGGAGTGTTTCAATATATATTATCAAACCTCAACTTCTCAATGCTTAAACTTTCCCAAACTTATAATTTACGATTACTAAATATCGAATTTCTAAATCCCTCTCCCCTCTCCAACCGATGTGAGATCTCACAATCCACTCTGTTGGGGGCCAACATCTTCGCTGGGACGGTGTTACACGTAACAGGCTAAAACAAACAGTGGACTTGAACTGTTGCAATACGTTATAAGGGTGGAAATCTCTCTTTAACAAATGTATTTTAAACTAGTGAGATTAATGATCATTTGCAATAGATCCAAGCGAACAATATTTACGGGCGGTTCCACGGATCTCTTACTCAAAAGGTTGTTCATGGGCTCGTATTAATAATGTTATTATGTGTGCATGTTTAGGAGGAGGAGGAGCAAGTGAGCTTTCCTTCTTAGACACTCAATTTCTAAAGCCCCGAAAAGAGGTAAAGTTTGCGCCTTTTCTTTGCTTGAGTATAAATTCTTAGGCCCCATAATCCCACTCTGTAAACTGCTTTATTTCTCAATTTCTACTTATTCATACCATATTGTTTCATGTCAATTTGAGGAACTATATTCCGCACATCCTGTCACGTCTCCTTTAACATGAGATTAACTATGTTATACACCTCTAAAATTAAGCTAATCCACTGATTTTCGACAGTATTACCAGCAAAGAATAAAGTGGCGTTCGTTCATTCAATGTGAAAAAAGGGTAGTATGAACAGGAATAACCAGCCCAGATAAAGCAAGAGAATAATTAAGTGTTTAAAATGAAGGGGAAAGTGGGTTCTTTTCTTGATCGGTTGTTTAGTCATATAATCAATCGCCAAAAAGTTGCAGAAAATGGTAGCTTAAGTAGTGGCACCCTCCACGTTCTGAGTCAGTTTGGGAATGGGGTTTGAGGCCGAAGTAGAAAAGGGATCCCCTTTTGGAGATGCTCTGTTTCTTGGGTTTGGTTTGTTGTTTAGGCCTCTTTTGTTAAGTGCATGGGTTTTTATGTTAATTACCCATTTCTTTTTGTTCCTGATTCTGGACAACCAAACAAGAGACATGCACCAAACATCCAAAGGAGTCATTAATATAATCAACATCGCTGTTTGGGAACAGCCTCGCATCCTAATCATTAACCGCAAAATTGATACAGAAAGAGGTGTGGGAACCTGGAAAAAGGAAAAGCAGAAAAGGACCCGCCAGCCTTGTCCCAGTGTGCTTTATTGGCAACGAAAATGATATCCCCTTCCACTACACAAAAAGTTGAATTGCCTCCAATATGGTTGTGTTGAAGGATGGGAAAAAGACTGAAGGGGAAGGAAAGCACACTGATTTGGATGTTGATTGATGGGCTCTTAATCCCCCAAACTTCAAGTTGGTGCTTACAATGTTCACTTGAGCAACAAGAAAATTATCTTCTTTCATCTTCTGTCTATTTCAATGGAGTTGGTGGTCTGCTGGATTACCACTCTTTAATAATACCTTAAGCCTACGGCTAGTACATATTCTCCATTTTGACCCGTAAAGTATCTACTAGGGAGAGATTTGCACACCATTATAAGCAATACTTTGTTCTCCTCTCCAACCAATGTGGGATCCCATAATCCACTCCCTTGGAGGCCAAGGCACTCTGCCTCGTGTCTGACTCTAGTATCATTTGTTTTGTAACTAACTCAAGTCCACCTCCGGTAAATATTATTTGTTTTGACCCATTACGTATCACCATCAACCTTACGGTTTTAAAAGGCGTCTACTACGAAAAGTTTTTCACACCCTTATAAAGAATGTTTCGTTCCCCTCTCTCACCAATGTGGGATCTCACAATCCATCCCCTACGGGGCCAGCGTCCTTGTTAGTACACTGCCCGGTGTCTACTTTTGATACCATTTCTAACAGTCCAAGCCTGTCCGTTTTGGCCCTTAACGTATCGCCATCAGTCTCCTAGTTTTAAAACGAGTTGATTAGAGAGAGAGTTACGCACAGTTATAAAGTTATAAGGAGTGTTTTGTTCCATTACTGGCATGCTCTATATGAAAGACAAAAACACATAAAATAATAATGCCTCAAAATTTCTGAAACTGGACTTTGAAGCAGATGAAAAGGACATATCATCAAATGCATTGGTTCTCTTGGTCTATCATTCTACCACACTGTCTTGTTTCAGTAGATAACAGAACAGATATCATTTAAAGGATACATAACAGGAATGACATCACTGAAGACAGCCTTTTGCACAATATAAAACAGACAGGATAACATAGTTGGTTTGGTTTCATGAGAAACAAACTTAGATTATTCAAGACAAACTAGCAGAGGAGACAAAAGTCTACTCTCTAAGCATAATCGCCCGGCTGGTCAGGAGGAGGAGGAATTGGCATATGAGGAAGGAGAGGAGCCCCATGCTCTATTGGTCCGGGTTTGACTGATGTCTTTGAGCTTGGAACTGGGTCAATGGTAGGGTAGTCATCAAGTTTAAGATCACCTGGGTGAACCATCTTTTTCCCCAGGCTATTATGTTCATCAGTCTGGAACTGAGAACCAAAAAAAGATGTAACCAATCTCATTAATCAAGAAGAGAGATGCATTATGAAAATGAGTTGTTGGATTTAAAGGCTTTAAAAGGGTAGCACCTTCAGCTTCCTGTTAAAGGGTAGGTCAGACAAGCATTCGTTTGGATTGACATGGTGGTGGCTCAAAGCCATATCTTCAAGAAAAGCACAGCAGAAGCAACATGCAAAATTACACAAGTTACAGCGAATGAAGTTACAACTCAATCTGTATCTATGTACTTGATGCTGTAACGTTGAATTTCAATACACGCATACCAACATTGTTAAAGATAGGAAAATTAAGAACTGAAAAATGTGATTAATGAAGCATTAACTTCAACATTACCGGAGGTGGAGGAGGCATTTAAATGGCTGGGAAAGCAAGACAGCAATAAAGTTGTTTGGAGGACCAAAAAGAAAACCCAAAACCCAGAAAGCTTCATAATGCAAAAATGGCGAAATGCAGAGCAGGCCCAGAAAGAAGAAGGCAAGAACTTGAAAACGAGAATGTGCCCAGAAAAAGAAACAAAAGAAGACACGCCCTGTTCAAAGGAGGTCGTCCATGAGGGATTTAAAAGAACAGAGGAAATATGGAATGGCATTTAATTGGATCAGCAGAGGAGCAATAAAAGGAATCAGGTGATCGTCAATGCTTGTTGATCATATCACCTGCATTGGACACAGGCTGTGGAGGAGTAAATATCTGCTTTGCGTTTGCAGAAACTGTGTTAATTTTACAAATTTTAAAATGGCAGAGGCTTGGAATGCGAGCCATCGGGAAAGAACAATTTAATATTTAATAATTTAATTCTAAATATTGATTAACAAAAACGGGGGTGTAGCTCATATGGTAGAGCGCTCGCTTCGCATGCGAGAGGCACGGGGTTCGATTCCCCGCACCTCCACTGTTATCTTTTGTGCCTTTTTTTTTGTCGTTTTCTGTCGCACCGCCACATTGGATTGCTGCTATCCAACCCATGAGCTAGGAACAGAGCAGAGTCAAGAAGACCACTCCAAATGAGAAGAAAACACCGTCTTCTTCTAAACTGCTTGCCGATGAGGATGTCGGAAGAACAATGAAGATTGTTTTGAGATTTAGTTAGTGATTAAAATCAACGATCAAGTGCGAACCGAATGCCACGTTTTGTTTGTTCATGAAGTAATCTCATATGTTAAATCCTTGTTTGGAGAGAGGGAGAGGCAACTTATATTAGGTAATTTTTTAGAATTTTTTTTTTAAGAATGAATATGAGTGAGAAGTAGTTAATTTGTGACAATGTCATAGAGTAATAGTACAACATTTCTCTACACGTGAGAAAAAGATTCATGTTGGTCTATGTTAAGAAACAAGAGTAGTTAACCTAACTACAACCGAGAAATGTCGGGATGATCAAATGTGAAAAACCAACTTCCAATTCAATAAGCTCCCACGGATGAACACCACCTATGATAAAAGAGAACCAGTAATAAGAAGCAACTTATCATATATTAACATTGAATAAGTATAATAATAACAGCCATGAAGTGTATCAATAAAAATACTCTGTTTTTGTTCTTTGAAAAATTATATTGTAAGAACGTTGTCTTGTAAAATAAGATTAATATAAGAATAAGGAGAAAATTAATAACTATTCGTTTCCGGAGGGAAAATGGATTGGGTATTGAATCAGCAATCCACAGTATGAATATTGAAAACGAGAGATAAAGAAAAATGATGACCAAAATTTAGTTTATTATTTCATAGATAAGGAAGCAAGGAGAGAAGAGAGAGGGTCTAGTCAAGATTGGATTAAACTGCGCAATCACTTCTTCCTCTTCTTCGAATTAGTGTAGAGTGCAGCGTTGTTCTTCAACTTTGAATCTGTTTGTGACCCAAATTCACGGTGCCGGATTTAGAACAGAAGAGTGGGGATGGACTGTGAAGTGAATTGTTCAGAATCTGCAGCCAATGCATGCACCTGATCCACCCCACCAGAAGATATTCAACAACGATCTCCTCTTTCGCCGTCTCTCCTGGACGCCAACCACCTCCTTTTCGTTTCTCTTCACCATCTCCCACATCACCTGCACGTCCCCGTATTCGCAAGCCCTCACATCTCGCCCAAGTTTCAGCAGCCCTAATCAAACAAAATCCCCAACCATTCAATTCATTCACTCTCTTGCATTTCTATAAACAAGGATTCAGTACAGAAATCACGCACCGCGTTTGCGAAATCCTAGACGAGACGCGACTCTGAAGCTAAATCTTCGCAACGGAGAGGTCATCCTGCTCCACCATCCCATTGTCGTCTGCTCTGTTTCAACTCCCCGCTAGAGGAGAGATTAAAAAGAGAAGAAACGCTAGGATCTCAAATCCGAACGCGGTCAGAAATTTTACCTGAAACACCACCAAAAACTAAAGAACCAAACAATTTTCTTCAGAACTTTGAATGCTCAAAGCGAAATCAAGAAATATATCAAGAAAATCAAAACAATCTGATGAGGAACTAGAAGGCAACCTGGCGAAACTCGCTCTCTTCTCTCCCTCCTCCAAAGAAGCTTGTTGGCAACATTGGGAACCTAATTCGAAATATTAACCGCTTTCCGCCAAATCTCATCAGCCGACTGTTTCTCCAGATCCGCCTCTCACCGGATGCGACCGTCCGACTCTGTCCTTCTCGCGCCACATCCGATTCTTCACAAAACCGCATATACCCTTCATCGCTTCCTCGACCACACGTACTCCCCGTTTTCCGTTACACTACTTAGTGAATTCAGGCATTTGCCATTAAAAGTGGAGGCGCGTGGCCCTCATATCCCATTAAGCGTGTGCATTTAGTCTAGTGGGACCCACACTGGTTCTCTTCTCGCATACTGAGAAAGCGCAACTACGTGGCACTCAATTTTTTATTTTTATTTGTAATTCCTCCTACCATTCAAATTTTAATATTTATTTTAAAATTAAGTTGAACTTAAAATATATTATTTCTTAAACAAAGCTTAAAAAGCTTTGATATTGATTTGTTATATTGAATAATTAAAAACTATATCTTGGCCTAATTTTACCGCTTTTAATCAGAGCCGTCCAATGAGTCTACTAGATCTCAATTAGATAAAAGGGAACTAATAATTTCTTATTATAAGAGTGTGAAAATCTGTAGATCACATTTTAGTTAGAGAGATGAATGAAACATTATTTATAAGAGTATGAAAATCTCTAGATCCCATCTTAGTTAATTTCTTGTTATAAGAGTGTGGAAATCTATGGACCCCATAGTTAGGGAGAGGAATGAAAAAAGAGTAAAAATTAGGGTTTTAATTAAAATTTATTGAAAGAAATGTTGGATCTTTTATCAGTATATTTTAGCAGAAGCATATGTTGTTACAGGCAGCCTCCTCTAGGAGGAGTTGGGATTCTTAAGATGGGGAAAACAGGCATAAACACCGGATTTTGGGTGCCTTGCTTCTGCATGCTCCCTGCACTTCACCTCCGTCGTTGTGCATATAAATGTCTGCATGCATACCTTACACTGCAACCATCCACAACCACCCACTTTCATTAACACTTTAACTTCAATCTCACATGGAGCTGCTAATGGGTTTTGTGTTTTAGATCCAAGTCTCGAGGAACCAAATTAGATACATAATTGAGACTCAGAACTTTACCTGTATTGTCATGGCTTTCTTGTTCTTTTCCAGCTGACTTCCTGTGCAAATTATTACAATCATAATCAACTCTTAAGAGGGAAATCATCAAACAGAAAGAATTTACCTCTTGAGGAGGACTTTTGTTTCTCCAGGTTTTTCTCCCGAGCCATTTTAGACTTCTGGCCATTGCCTCCGCCCATTTCGCAAGAGGGAGGGTTTCAAATTCAGAATCGATCGCGTCGCCTCAGAGCAGAACTCTGTGCATATATATAGAAGTTTCTTCGCCGTCGGGTAAAATGGGAGCCAGTGATGATAGCACAAATAAAAGTGGGAAAGCACTGTTCAACGATTATTCTATTAATGGCAAGGGATAGGAAACGGGATGGTATGGTGTGTGCAATCAATTAATGGAGTAGTTGGGGAGATTTCTGGTATTGAAAAGGAAACACTCATAATTGAGTCTTTGATTCGAGCACATGCGGCGAGTCAGCGGTAGAGATTTGTTCTTGCCATGACACCTCCCAACCACGCATGGAGAGATGGCAGAGTAGAAAGCTTAGAAGAGTGGATTAGTGTCGTGAGGCATTTTATCAAACACTTGGTCTGCAAGTAGATATAATGCGATGAGTGAGTCGGCACTGTGTTGGTTAATGATGTGGATAAATAGTGGAGTTAAATAGGTAATACAAATACAGCTGCAGGCCACTACAAATTAATTAATGGAAGGTGGAGCCACGCAATAATAAGGAGGATAGTGTTGTTTTTTTTTATCTTTTGCATTGTTATGAAAATATAAGAGAAACAAGTATTGTATTTATTTGGGTCCCTAATTAAGAAACTTGTCCCTTTAATCATCTTAGCAATTAATTAAGCACCATACAGAGTTGCCGTTGCCCGCGAACGCTCGCTCTCACTCATGGATCAAGGATTATTCATGTTGCCTCCATAACCACCATCACCACCACCCATGCCTCCTGAACCGCCAACTCCGCCGCCACCGCCACCTCCAATGCCACCTGAACCGCCTAACCCACCGCCTCCAATGCCACCTGAACCGCCTAACCCACCGCCTCCAATGCCACCTGAGCCGCCTATTCCACCACCTCCACCGCCTCCAATGCCACCTGAGCCGCCTATTCCACCATCTCCGATGCCACCTGAGCCGCCTGAACCTGAGCCATACCCAATTCCAGGTCCAAACCCACCACCCGACCCATAACCAATGCCCGAACCGAATCCACCACCTCCAGCCCCACCGGATCCAGAACCACCGTAACCTGAGCCGAAGCCTCCGTTCATCCCGGTGCCAGAGCCACCACCAGGTGATACTCCCCCATAACCTCCAACCGTGAGCTCTAAAAGGTTCACTTCCTTTTTAATGTTTGTGTCCTCTGGAAGGCCATTTCCCATTTCATGAGCACTCATGCTACTCGCAAGCTTCAATTTTCTTGCATTTGCAGCGTCAAGAACATTAGTGGAGAGGACAAGACAGAAAAGGAGGAGGCCCCGTGAAACCAAATTGTTTCTCGTCATGTCTATTGGCCAACTAAATGCAACAGAACGCCTGGAAGAAAGAATAACACTTCATATATATAAGAAAGCAATATAATGAACATGAAAAACCCCCCCAAGGATCACATCAAGCTTCTGAAACCATGATATGTGCAAGGTGATTCTGGTTGTAAGCGCTATCCGCATGAACATTGGAGCAAAGATCGTGGTTGACCTACCTACGGTTAAGAGGCCCTTATGAAGTCTTATAAACTTGACTAATATGTTGGAAAATTAGGCGACAAAAGAAAAGTCATTTTTATACAATCAAATGTAGGTACAATTATACAATCAGATGTTACCTCAATTCCATCCAAAAAGAGCTCAAAAGATTTAAAGAAACTCTTATAATGCTGAAGGCTTAAACTAGCCAATAATAAGGGAGAGACTAGACTCAAGCTTTTCTGGAATTTCTGGATAAGTCTTTTGAGTCCTTGCTATCATAAGTTTGATTTTGATCCTTGTTGTCAAGTTCCATTCCCTGAAATATCATCCTTGAGGACCGATACTTACTCCCGTAAGCTGTGCCAAATCCCCATCCAAGTCCCAATCCTACACCACACCCACCACCTACAGAAAAGAATCACAAAATAAATAACTATGCAATCAGATGAATGTCTATTTGGAAAAATATTTGTACGTAGAGCATGTTAGTTTGTTACCCGCACCAAGGCCCAAGAAGTTCAAAGGCATTCCTGCAAAATAAACATCTTCATTTAGGTGAGGCACGTAATTGCAGAAAAACTACAACTCCCACGTTAAAGAATAATATGTGCCTAGAAATTTTGAAGGGAAATAATGGAATATACAACTGGATCTAAAAGTTATGTGCAGGACCATAACTTTCAAGGTTCCTATGCAGAAATTAAAACCCAGTACTATGCAGAAATCATAACTTTTGAAGACTCCAAACAGAAATCTGATAGTCTAAACGTGAAAATGTAATCTTCCATTGCAATTTACTTTATCTCTCGTTCCTTAAACTAAATCCATACCAACCTAAGATTCCATACTGTTCTAATATCCTAAACCGCAGAAACGAGAGTTGCAACAAAGGCACAGAACTTAGTTTCTAGCCCGTCAAGATTCTTGTCTATAGGTATCCAGCTTACACCCTTTCAATTAACCTGTGGAAAGATGGTTTGATTCCTTTAAATAAATCATAAGATGAACCATCATGGATTGAACTAGTAGTTAATACAGGTCATGGGAAGAACCCAAAACTATTAGTCCTTCACAAGTCAAAACAAGATACCCCACAACTTCTGTTGTGAGCTCTCATCGAACTAGAATATTACCAAACATGCATATTTCTTTTAGAGTAATGTAACTATTAGATTTCACAAACAAATACATGAACTACTCGCTGTTGGGAGTCCCACAGGAATTCCAAGTGGCATCTGTGGCTAGATGTAGATATCTCAAGATCAATGATGTCAATAGATCACCACAAACCAATTCATTTCATTGTTCTGCCTCTACAAATCACAAAGTTACTCCATCTTCACCAAACTTGCCAAAAGAAAAGGCTCTACTTATTCCAAGTAAATAACCTATTAAAATTGGCATACCTCGGCCTGCCAGTCATTTCAAAATAATAGAGAGCCAGACATCGCCAAGACTCCAACCGTAGCTTAACAAGAACAACTCATATCATTTTCAGAGGAAAAAAAACTACATATTATCCCCCTTTCTGATCCAAATTAAAGAATAATAGTTTTTCAATTTATCCCCCTTCCTGATCCAAATCTTTTTCAATTTATAATTCAAAAGCCTCAGGGTTCTGTAGCATTCATTTCATAATGTTCCAGAAACTCTTTTCAACTAACTTCGCCCAGCTAGCATATTAAATCCAACATAATTAGAGAGAGCGCAAATAAACAAAAAGCCTGAAATCATCTTAGAAATTCCGGAACAAGCTCACGACGTACAACAGGTAAATGAAAGAACTAAGCAAGAGAGAAAAACGATCGAAAATAACTAGGGTAAGACATTACATACCTCCGAAACCCCATCCGATGCCGAATCCACAACCGATACCAAAACCTCCAATCAAGAAAATAACAGCAATAATCAGTTAAAAAGACAAAGAAAAGATAAGAAAACACAAAATATATCAAACAAAACAAGCTCAATATTTATGAAGATATCATACCGAATCCGACGCCAGCTCCATTGAAGTTGGTGAGTACCATTGCTCGCAGCTGAGGCGCCACAAACGGAGAAGCTTGTAACGAGTGGAATCGAGAACGAATTGAACAAAGGGAGCGAAAATTTTTAGCCAAGGAAAAAGGAAAACAACAATTACCTCGAGCTGGAGGAGATAATAGGATAGATCGATTTGGGTATAGTGTATACCTACTTTCCTACTCGGTCACGAATCGGCGGCAGCGGTAAGGGCTTACGTTTAAGATGGCCTATACGATCAAAACGAAGGCTTTTGGCCCACTTATATTTTAGATTTTTTTATTTTTTTATTTGAGAACTTTTAGAATTAGTTAAGAGGTTTATTGAGAAAACACAATTATAAATTAAAATTTATTTTATTTTATGTTTTAATAATATCTCATAATTAAATTCTAACTACCCATTTTGGATTGAATGGGTTTGATTATTGATAAATGTGTTATTTTTATTGTTTTTATTTCTTTAAATAATAAATAATATTTCAAGGTAAAACGCATAAAGGAAACTATGTGTATATTCATATCATAACATATGAACGGTAAGAACTAGCATTCTTATTGAGACTCGAATTTATAGGGAAGCAAATTGATGGATGGAATCAAGCAGCATTTACCGACAAAAGTCTTCGGTTATTGTATTGTGGGAAAAAAGAAATATACTTAAAATGGCGAATCAGGATCCACGGGGACAGAAATCAAGCAACAGAAATCAAGCATCGAGTGAAACTCTTGTTCGGTGTCAAGGTTATGAATAGTCATTATTCCCTTCGCTTGATGCCATTGAAGTCACATTGAAGATAAAGAGAGGAAGAAAGTAAAATTAAGCAACACTTTCTGATGTTCAAGCTTATTGCAGAAGAATCCAAAGGAAATAGTTGCAGAAGAAGAAGTGGGGAATCAATCAAGGCACAATTTTGAAAGCCTTGATCTTGTCGATCCAAGAAATGAAGGAGTTCTTGGAGTTCCTGAAGCCCAGAAATCCATGCTCCTTGCTCTTGTTCATGCTATCTATGTTACCTGAAATGCTCAAAATTATATCTACAAACCACCAATTACCAATCTCCTCCAATCGGGTTGGTTGCAGCTGATTCTCCTTCACGATCTCTTCCCACACTTTGCTTTTGTCCTTCATCAACTCCACCAACGTCAATTTCTCGCCCTCTTCGAACCCGTAATCCTCAATGTTGAACTGTTCTGCCAACACTTTCCAGAAATGTTTCCACTTGAATACATCGCCATTGTTGCAGTTAAACGCCTCGTTCTTCGCGTACGGATCCACCGCCGTCCATATGTGCTGCTCCGCTATCAGATCTGCGTCTGAAGCTACAGAGAACTCCTCCCAAGCCGATTTCGTGCCTGGGAATTTCAACGGACGTCCCTCGTGCTTGCATATGGCGGCGTACGCACATAGGGTTCCTATGATGTTCATCCAGCTGAAAGGGGAAAACCCGAAAATTACATTGGGTCGGATCACCGCCCATGTCAGATCCTTTCTTTGAGTCTTTTCAATTTCTTCGAACAACAAATCTTCTTGCGTGTAATAGAAATTTGGGCATTTCAATCGAGGCAAATCCTCCGTGAAAGGCGAACCGGGCGGCTGCACGGATTTATTGACAATGCTCTCGAAGGATCCGACGTAGTGCTTCGTACCGGTTTGAAGGCAGATATGGCGGAGATTCGGCGCGTTGGAGATCACTGATCGCAACACGTTGCGAAGCATTTTAACGTTGGCCTCGCAGTTCTCGAGCTCGGTGGATCGCTTGGTCCATGTGACATAGAAGAGATGAGTCACATCAACGAGCTGCGAGAGTTTGGCTTCGGCGTCTTCCGGATCGGAGATATCGCATTGAATGTATTCGATGGGATGGTCGGCGTTCCAACTTGGCCTCGACCTCCGAGCGACGCCGTAGACCTTCCATGGACCGCCGGGGGTGTCGGAAAGAGGGAGAATCTCGGCGAGACTATTGCCAACGATACCAGTAACACCGATCACCAGGGCGACGCCCTCAAATCTCCTCGGAGGTTCATCCTCATCAAATGTCTTCTGCAAAATCGGGAACAGAGAAGTCGATAAGAGAAACGTGGAGGCATTTCAGAGATAGAAACAGGGGAATGGGTACAGATACGGAGTTACTAGTTACCTTAGCAGCGCCAATCGCTCCGGCCCACCACCAGCTCATTTTAAGTCGCGTAATCGGAGATAGGTTTCGGAATCAGGTGAAAGGGAGCAGATAAAAAACAGAGATTGAATCGGAAATCAAACGGTGGTTCGAAGGGATTTATAAGCGTAAGGGTGTACAGATCATTGTCGCCGATTACGAAGGGAACACGGACCATGACGAGGAGATGTGACGGGATATTCATCGGATTCGAACCGCCGTAGTTCCAGGGAAATTTTTTGTAAGGAACATTATTCCCCTTAATTTTATGATAAATGAATTTTTAATTGTCATAACGAAAGAACTAAAAATGTAAACTTGAATGTTAAATTGCGCAATAATAATTTGATGATAAATGAATTTTTAGGTTAAAACCCATGATTTTTCCTTACAAAAAGAATTGACGTCATAGAACGGCGTTTGTTCCTTGATCATTTTCAGTATCATCGTTAATAATTATGTTTAGATGGCGATGTTTCATAAAAGGAGATTTGTTTAGAAATATCTCCATCTCCATCCTTGGAGAGTTGTTGGGAGCTGGTTCAGGTCTCTGGTTTCCAGATAACTTGGACCTTGTTGCCCTGATTCTTCTCTAGCGCTGCGACTTTGGCACGATAAGCTGTTGCTGCCACAGCCTTCTTAAAGCCATGATGACCTCGAGAGGAATCGCAGGCCTCGCTCATGGAAGCATATCTAAGTTCAGCCGGGGGAATGAAACAATCAATGGACAGCCCAGGGACATTGAATGCTACTTCCTCTATAGTCCAAGCTTCTTCCATCCTGGTTTTTGAATGGCTCATGGCTGTTTCCCCAAATCTGAAAAGGGTTACTACAGATCGACCCGAGTGAGCAATCATAATCCCCTCGACTTGTCGGTAATCGTCAAGAAACGAATTAATCGTGGTTTCCCAATACACAGCATCGCCCCCGTTGTTTTGGATTCGGGTTAAATGTGAATCTTCTAAATGTACAAGGAGGCCTGATTTCTGGCTGAAGCATCCAAACATAGTGTGCCTGATTATCTCTGCAGGTCCTTCACTTCTTGCCTTCAATGTTGGAGGATCTGTACAGAGCTTGAGGATGAAACAATCTTCACCATTAACACTCTTTTCTCCAATGCATCTTGCATTAGCAAACATGCTTGCTGTAGTTTTTGGATCAAGACCCTACACATAAAGAACTTGGTGAGCAAATCTCCACTATATAATGAGGGTGGTGTAAGATGAAGTGTATCACCTGAAGGGCACGGCGAAGGGGTCTAACAGGCCCTTTGGCGGCATGAGCGCCAAGCCAAGGCGTGTGCCTCCACACTAGCTTTCCATTGCAACCAGCATGAACCTTGCTACCTCCAAGAGCAAGCTCAACATACCACATATCTGGCTTCATTTGCCACAAAACGAACCCGCCCGACTCTGCATCTTTGGAGGAATTACGGGTCCTGACCACTTTGTTAGCTGTTTCAAACTCACATGCTATCATTTTTACCTTTCCCATGGCATAGGCATTGCATACAGAATTTTGAAGTTTTTGCCCTCCTGAGGCTGCTGTGTACTGCTGCAATATATACTGAGCAGATGAATTTTCCTGCAGGAAAACCCCTTGAAATTTTATTATCCAAGACCCATCCTGGAAACCCAGTATCCAGAAAACAACCATACATCTCATTTGTATAAATAAATAACTAGAGACAAGAGCATTAAGATCTCTCTCAGTGTACTCGATCTTCATTTTGGAATAAATTCGAAGAAGAAGATAAAGGAAGAGATGAGTTCAGAGTGGAAAAAGTTAGTTTAGAGAGTGAATAATTAGGACTAACAATGGGGATGTCTTTAATGGCTTGGTGGGGCAGAGGCTTGGCGGAGCTAACATGAACAGGAGCTAACGGAGCACCCAAAACCCCAAGCAGCAGCCTCAGATCAGATCGTTTTTGGGCAGAGCAAGAAACAGCAGAAGGTGCCCTACAAAGCTGACCCCTCATCCAGTTTCCCCATTTCCCCTCCTTTGAATCGCTGCTCTCGTTCCCGTCGGGCCCTTCCTTCAACGGTGACAATGCCTCCTCTGGCCTTAAGTTTCCTGATCTCTCAATCATCAAGTCCGGTTGCGACAGTTGGTGGGTCTTCCTCCGCCGTAGTAAACTCGACATGGGGGACGCACTTCTCGCCGGACTTTTCGCTCTTGACCTTCCAGGTGAAAGCCCTCTTACTATCTCCCCCTTAAGCGCCGAGAAGAATCCTTGCTTTCTTTCCATTTCAAACTATTCTCCAAAACTAGCGACACAGAAGAGTGAAACAAAAAGAAACGAAGAATACTTGAACAATATGATGGAAGAACTATCGTAATCAGCAGCAGGCCCAGCTCGACAAAAACAGTACAAAGCTCATTATCGAACAGCTGCGATTCCACCTACAGGGGGGGGGGGGGGGGGGGGAGAAAAAAAAAAAAGGTAGAGAGACGAGCAAAACTGTAAGTATTTTATACAATTACGATCTGAGTCGTCCTCTTTTCTCTTCAATTGTTACCCATTACGGCTGTTTTCTATCCTGCTATCGCCTTCAGAAGTGGGGGGGGGGGGGGGGGGGGAGAAAAAAAAAAAAGGTAGAGAGACGAGCAAAACTGTAAGTATTTTATACAATTACGATCTGAGTCGTCCTCTTTTCTCTTCAATTGTTACCCATTACGGCTGTTTTCTATCCTGCTATCGCCTTCAGAAGTGGGGGGGGGGGGGGGGGGGGGGGGGGGGGGGGGGGGGGGGAGGGACCTAAAAACTGGGAAGGATTTAACTGCGCCGGAAACTTGTAGGAAGAAAAGAGACTGCACTAGTCTTCGGGCGGCGAGATCAGGCAGCGGAATCTTGGGAAATGGCCAAGAACAAGAACTCAAACGACGAAAGACAAGATTGGAAGGGGCGTCTCTGGTGAACACTACACCAAAGTTCAGAAGGAAAATTGAAAAAGTAAAAGGAAAAAGAAAAAGAAAAAGAAAAAAAGAAAAGAAGATCATAGGGCAGTGTGCCGATTAATACAGGGTCCACCTGCGGTGTTCCAACCGGTTATACCCACGTGATAAAAATTTTATCTCCTAATGTACAAAAAGTAATAATTAAACGCCATCCTAAAATAACCCTATTGGTCGAAGTTCATATAAATCAAATCTACTTCATCAATCAAACCAACCTGTAATAAAGGGCACTGGGAACAGCTCAAGGCTGTGCACCTTTGTCCCTGCTTAAATACATGAGCCATTCCAATAACACATGTTCTTGTTTGGCATGGTTTTTTTCCCTTCTTCCTGTGGTTTTTACTACAACTCTAAATCAGTGTACAACGGTCCTAAGCATTTCATGGTATGAGTGACTACCATATACACTCAGTTTTTGAAGCTATTTTAAATTCCAATCTCTCCCTACCCAAATCACATCTTTTCTTTAATCCGAAACTATATATCTGATATACAGAATCACAACTCCAACCAAAAAAGAGAGAAAAAAAGGGGGTCTATAGTGGCTGAAGCTCTTGCTCGGGTCCGACAGCACCAACAGGCTCATATGAACTCAGCTCCCTCCGTCTGTATCTCCAAATCAGCCACGTGCTTCCGGCTGCCAATCCAACAACTAAGGTAACTGCTGCTACAATAGACATCATAGACCAGAAGTGCAGCTCCATCCATGTCCTGTATAAATCCGACCAGGGGTAAGAAAGTACGTGATGAAGCATAATATAATAGGGAAAATTAGTCAAGTTGTAGCCAGAAATAAGTAGAAAACGAGAGTGTGAACATGACAGCATATACCTACTGCACAGAAATGTGATCAATAGTATTTTTAAGATTATATAACCTACTGGGCTGAAAGCAAATTACTCTATAAGAAGACATGTCACAGATACAAAACTTATTAGCAGTTACTGCAGTTTAAATGGGTGAACGCCATGCTTTGAAGGAATTTCCCCCCAGAATCAGTCGAACTCCAAATGCGGACGACCCAGTGATGATATATTTGAAAAATGACGAGCAATAGCCAGTGGAGCCCTATGTGCTCCAAATGCTGTAAGAAGGAAAAGAATAACATCCAGGAATATATCTCACTTCTTTAATGGAGGTTCAACATTCAATTCAACCAGCTGATAGCTTCCGAATTTTTCAGGAAGTTGCAAGTCATGTTTCTTCAGGCGAGAAATTATGTCCTGCAAATCATCATTTACAGTCATAAGATAGTTAATTGATATACTCCAATGTTTTTACTTCATATAAATAACCGGGGCGCTTAAGAACTAAGAACTTTCACCATTGCCGTGGAATTAGATATATAACCAGCAGAATCAGCAGGGAAGATGGCCCATCTAATGAAGAAATCAGTTCCCCCCGATGTAAAGTTCAGCATGTGAACCTAAAATTAGACAATTGGCAAGTGTAAGCCGAACCCCAAACTGCAGACACTACAAAGAATCGAGCATATAGATATAGAAACAGCAGTGCAAGTCTCAATAAAGTCAAGTATATGCATTCTTCTTAAGCTTTAGGGCGCGCATTTTCACTCTTCTCCTTTCTTTTCAAAAAAGTTAAGTTCACACCATTAATTGTTGCCTTTTACAAGATTATCTCGAAAAAAAATTTGGAGAGGACCTAGCACTAACAACGGTGCTGTGGTAGTCGACAAGAGATAATATGAATGGTGAAAGGTTAACTCTAAATTCATTAGTACCTGTGAGACATTAACTTCAAGCTCATTGGCAATAAATTCTGCAAGCTCAGTGATGTTAAGCTTCACGGAGGATTTGTTGGCATGAAGCACCATATTAAATGTTATGACTCCAACCTGAAATTCACCTACACAATGAACACAGGAATATATAAATACCGCGCGAAGTAAAAGTCATCTGGTAATATAATCTTGAAACCATTGGGTTAAACCTTACCGGAAAGAAATGGCACAGTTGGAGAAACAGGTGGAGGAATTTCATTACTTGTATTCTGACCATAGGAAGGTAGAGGAGCTGGAGGAGGAGCAGGAGAAAGATAATGCAGATTCTTCCAAAGTTCAGAACAGTTAGTCTTCCAAAACCCAATTTTGGTGTTCTCTCGATCATAGGTGACAAGGGTATTACGAACAATAATTCCTGCCAATGAAAAGAGACCACGCAGCTTTACTCTAAAGAAATACTATTTCGTTTTATTAATTTTGAGGACCGTGATTATTGAACACCTAAGTTTTATTAAAGCATGCAATACAAAACCATCATTTCCACACAGCCAAAAGCAGTAAAACAATGTGTACAGCGCAAAAGAGAATTATCCACAATCCAGGGAAACTTCGCCATACCTCCCAAAAGTGTTGTCTGATCATTACCATTTTTAAAGATTCCTAGACAATATGCACCACTAACCTTCGTATGCTGCAGAGATGGTTGATGAGAAGAGGAAGGATATACCATTAATGTAAATTTTACTACAAATTATAGGCAATTACATATATCATAACAATTCACTGGAGAGGGAAGGAGAGAAAAGATCAACTAAAAAATGAGTACCCGGAACAAGTAGTTCTCCGGAGAGAGTGAAATTTTCTGTCCATTGGCAAATACCATAGCAACCTCTGGAAAGACTTTTGAAAGTTCAGACACATCCCTAGCACAAGAATCCGATGATCAACAATCAACCCAGAAAGAAATACACCTAAAATATCAGCGCTCCTAGCAAGAAATAGAAATACCTCCCAGCACCAGAAAAACAAATATCTTTAAAATTTGGGTCAGGACCATTGATTTGTTTCAGGAAACTAATTTTCTTCATTAGCTGCAATGTAAACCATAAGTTAACAACAATGCACCATGTTTTGTAATAAACAACTGCAGAATGGACTGGGAGGAAGCAAAATAGGAGATGACCTTTACTATGAGTATGCATCAAGTCAAGAAATCAAAACTTGTCATTCACATGAATGAAAAAGTTAAAGACAACAATATCCCTCAGGCAACATCTATGGGAAAGGGCATTTCTACTTTTTGCTAAGAAGAAGAGCTCATGATGAATGCAGCATCGATTTCAAAACAGACCTGTAGATCAGATCTTTTCATCCAAAAAAATCACAACATTGCATTCCAAATGACAAAAACTGTACCCAGCACCTACATGTTTTTTCCAGCATGAAACAGTCCCTAAACTGGGAATCAATAGCATAAGCTAAGCATCAAATCAATTAAATCAACTACTAGAACACAGCCAAAATCAATTGCATAGCATAAATATTATATTTGGTAATAACAAAAAGAAGAAGGCTACAACGTATGTTTTGAAGTTCAAATGATCCGATTAAAATGTAAGAGTTCAAGATAGTTGTATCGGCGAAATGTGGCTATGAAGAACTACTTGAAGAAGTCCTTGTTCGAAGATAAAATGTGAAGGTAGAGAAAATGGTCAAATCAATGCAGAATGATAAAAGACAAGATAATGACACATGAATGAAATATTGGGACTGTGTGAACTCCAAACACTCGATCAATCTGAGTTACACTTCGAAGATTCAAATATGCTTTATAATAGCTTTCTCAACAACCATTTAGACAGTTTCAATGGCTTTGAACTGTTCCAAAATTCCATATCATGATGCAGAATGAATGAGATACTGAATCTTACTGGTGACAGACATATTGAATAAGACATGTATGTGATAGGTCCCCGACAGTAAATATGTATGTGAGGATGGTTAGAAAGGAAAGAGAACTGAGAGTTAGCTATAATATTGTGATAAGCACAAGGATGCCTTTAAGCAGAAGGAACGATAAGTAGCACGAAACTGATAGGCTTTTGGTGAAGGTAAGACCATCTAAGATTTGAAAACCAGAGATTAGATGCAGAAGTTGAACAACTTACAGCGTCCTTAAATGCATAGTAGGCTTTTTCTGGAAAATAAGCATATGTAGTTCCACTATCCAAGACAGATCCATACTTCCCATCGAAAGTCTTCGGATTCAACTTCAATGGCTTCCCAGCAACATGTATTTCCTTCAACTCTATATTATAATATGGGCTGTTTCCGTCCCAAAACTAGACTATATCTATGAGATATACATAAATATAAACCAGTGAAAATGAATTTAGAAAGGCACATTCAAAACCACCATACCTTCGAGATGTGTCCGAGTGGGTAAATACCATACCAGGGGGTGAAGAGATCCCACCAAGAACCATTGCACCCCCACCAACATCCATCCCACCATAACATAATGAAAATGAATTACTCACAGCACCCTTGCCAACAAGTTGGTCCATCACACTGAGTGTACCACGGCCCAAACCCATAATCCCATCAGCACGCTGGGTATAAAGATCGCCAGTTTCCATAGTTTCACAGCCAAAGACTGCACGCTGGGGTAGAAGTTCACTTTCTTTTCCAAATGACATGATGTCCTCAGCAAGGACACCGCTGCTAGTACTCATCTCTGCATACCGTCTCTCGTATGTACACTGGACTCCATTGTCATCACAGCTACAATCGATATTGCACTTAACAGGTTGATATGAGCTAGACAACTTCGGTTGGAACCTTGGATCCTAAAAATAGTATGGTCTAAAAATAAATCAAGTGAAAAACTTGTTTTAAGAACATATATCGAGTATAACTAGAGTTATCAGCAGTTCAAACTGTCTGGACTTTCTACAATAATATTTTTTTTTTTTATCTACGACTACTACAATCAATCTAAACACCTTATTTAACTGAACATGCATAAGCTTCAAATGAGTAATCTGACATAATTCCCAATGCAGCACCTCACAACTACGATCATGCTACACAATTTGCAAGGTTACTAGTAAATTGAATGAGATTTGAAATCTCAAATGAAAGCATATTATGAAGGCTTATTCTCATAAGAGATTCTTCTATATTTGGTCGTCAAAATAATTTGTAGGATATTAAATACTAATTAGATGATCACCATAACTTACTCATTTCCTCTAAATTGTTTGCTATTTACATCGGCGTTAATTGACCACTAGGCCAACCAAATGCAGTTTTTCATTTTGGCACTATCTTATTTTATCTTTGTGAACCCATACACAGAAAGTCATTTCCAGAGAAAAACATGTATGAACCAGTGATCCGAGATGGATCAGATGGGCGATCTCTAATCTTTCCTTCATCAGCAATTCGACCAAGCCTAGTTCTAAGATCCCATGCTTACATCGTGCTGAACAGTTATAGGCTTAAAAGACAAAAATTTCAAACAACGGAATCAGTATAAGTTTCTGTAAGCCCAAATTCGAACGAACAAAACGAATTGCAGATATTTGGCGAGAGAGCAGAACTGAAGAAACAACGCAGATCAACAATCAATCGAAAGAAACCTGATGGTTCCCGCAATCTACGCAGTTAGAGCATGGAACGTATGTCACAGTACTTCCGGTGTCCACAATAAGAGCAAATTCTTGTGGAGGAGTCCCAATCCATAGACGCGTCGTGTAATACCTAGGAATATAAATGCCCAGAACCTCGAATTCACGATATACATACAAACAAATCTAAAAACTGAAACAAAAGCAGAAAATTCAGAAAGACGAACCCGTTGGTAAGGAGGTCGTCGTAGAGTCTCATTCGAGCATTTGACGAGTGGGGTTTTTCCAAGTTCAACAGGTGCCGGAGACGATGATCACGGTCCAAAACGCGCTGATGGGTGGAATTCGTCGGTGAAATATAGAGAGGAAGAATCACAGGGCGCTGCTGATAATCGAAGTCTCTAGAGTCCACAGATGAGGAAAAAATCGCGCCCAGAAAATTGAAACCAACTAAACAATAGACGAAGATGGCAGAATGTAAACTGGTGGAGGGCGGAGACATGGTGTGCTGGTGGACCGTACGCGATGGTGCAGACGGAAGAGGAACGACGGTAATTGGCGCGGAGAGGACCCGGTAAATAGCCCTCTGCGCCCCCAAAATATTGAGACTGAAACCAAAGTCATTGCAGTTTTTCTTATTTTCGTCGCTAACCGATTGGCCAATCCGATGAAGCCACGATAACGACATAATGAAAATGTAGGACGACGTGGCAACGGTCAACGGCAATCCGACCGGCATGTTGCAAGTTGGTCAACTCAAACAATTGTTATTTTATCCTTTATGTATATACGAAATTGGAAATTGAAATTTCCATTTATTAGTTTTGAAGAATTCCCCTATTTAATACCTTTGTGAAAATGGTGGTAAAGCAGGTGGGTGGCATTATTTTGTCCAAACAAGGAGAAAAATAAAACTTAGCTGCACAATGCTTGAAATAGAGGTTATGTATCATTATTGATGCATTTAGAAGCTTCACACTATATATATATATATATATATATATATATATATGTAACAACGTCAATTGCTAGCAAATATTGTTTGCTTTATCTCATTACGTATTGCTGTCAATTTCACGGGTTTTAAAACGTGTTTATTAGGGAAAAGTTTCCACATCTCTGTAAGGAATGATCTGTTCCCCTCTCTAGCTAATGTAGAGTTCATAATCCACTTCCCATGCAGTGCCCAACGTCCTTGTTAACACATTAATATTGTCCGGTGTTTGACTCTAATATCATTTGTAACGACTCAAACATATCGTGCGCAGAGTGGTTGCATTATGAGATCTCATATCAATTAGAGATGAGAACGAAATATTTCTTATAAAAGAATAGGAACATCTCTGTAGCAGACGCTCTTCAAAATTGTGAGGTAGACAATGATATGTGTCAAAGCGGAGTATGTTTTAACGGTGAGTTTGAGCCGTTATAGTGTACATTGACTATAGACTATAGAGCTTGATTTGGTTTGTGAGAGAAGCTTGCCAAATATGGGCTTACACCTGTTTCTAGCCTGCAAGTGTTGGCCTTTGGGCATAGTAACTGCAATATATATATATATATACACACGTGGGGGGCTGATATACCAGCCAGCAACTAAACAGTAAAACATAAACAACCACTTCAATTTGTATCAGATTTGGGGAAGCAAATGTGCGACCTTTGAACGGGGTCGGCAAAGGGCGTGGAGGGGCACGGCTTTGGGCAGCGTCAGTCCAACGCCTTCCCTCATATCAATACATTCCCCGCCAACCGACTCCCACTCAAAGCACTGAATCAGCGACCCGACAGCCAATCCAACGACGCGCAGTCCTAGGCCCTCGCCGGGACATCTCCTCCTCCCGGCTCCAAATGGCATCCACTTGAAGAACCACCCCTCTCCCTCACTTCCAAATCGTCCCGGGTTGAATTTTTCGGGGTCCACCCATACGGTGGGGTCGTTTTGGATGGCCCACACGTTGACGAACAGCGTTGTACCAGCTGGGACACGAAACCCTCCAACGTGACAATCCGCCGATGATTCGTGGGGGATGAGTAATGGGCCGGGTGGGTACATTCGGAGAGTCTCGTGGATTAGGCTACGGAGGTAAGGAAGATGGGCCAGATCCGATTCCTCCAGGATTCGATTGGATCTTCCTACAACATCGTCGATTTCCGTTTGGGCCCTTTGAAGGCACTCTGGATTGTTGAGTAATAGTGACAGCAGCCACTCCATTGTATTGATGGAACCTTCAGTCCCTGCTAATAGCAACACCTACAACAATCCAGGTTAATCACACTCTTGGTTAGAACACCACCAAGTTAAATTAAGTGAAATGAGGATGAGAGTTGGGCGATGTAGCTCACGAGCATAAGGCCTCTGATATACTCGTCCTTATAATAGTGAGGTTCCTTTTGTTGCAGCGAGAGGAGGACCTCAATCATGGTCTTTTTAGCATCCTTTTTACTCTGTTTACGATGTTCCTCGATCAAACTCTGCATCCAAGCATCCCGCTTGCTCTGCAACTCCTTCATCCTGTTTTCAAGCCCTTTCGATAATCCAGCCCATTTCACCATCCTTAAGAAGTCCCCCAAATTAGTCTTGCTGCTCAATCGAAACGTCTCCTCCTGAATCTCCCGGAATCTCTCTGCTTCCTCCGACTCCGCCACGTCTTCCCCATAATACCGCTTTCCAGCGATCATTCTCATCATGATATTGAACATCAACTCGAAAAACTCTGTTTTCATGTCTACGACGTCGTTTTTGGTGTTGTACAGCCTCCGGATCAACGTACGAACTTCGTCGACGCGAATACTGGAAAGCGTTTGGAGGCGGTGGGTGGAGAAGATTTCTAAGGACGAGATTCGGCGGAGGTTTCGCCAGTGCTCGCCATACGGAGCCCAGAGGAGGCTTGTGTAATTGTACCCGAGGTATTTGCCGCCTATGAGATGAGGCCGGTTGGCGAACACGATGTCGTTTTTGGAGAGACACTCCTCGGCGGCTGACGGAGAAGAGACGACCAGGACTGGTCGGAAACCGAACCAGAAGAAGAGGATTGGGCCATGCCGGCGCGAGATGTCCAATAGGGTCCGGTGAAGTGGGCGTTTGAGGAGGTAGAGTTGGCCAATGATGGGTAGTGAAAAAAATGGGCTCGGGGGGAGGTTTCGGATTCTGTGAAGGAATTGATTTGTGAATATGTGAAGTATGAATAAAATCAGAAGGCATAGGAATGTGATCGCCATGGACGACGGCTAAATGATGACTACGAAGGTTTGTACATATGATATGATAAGGCAGTGGAATTGTTTGTATTGGGCAGTATGAAGGTTTGGGTTTACAACAACGAAAACGACGTCGTACTGGTAAGAACCATTTCATAAGTGGGGTATGATAATGTAACCCATAGTGGGAACCGCAGTGGGGCACAGGCAAATGAGGTGATAGCAAGGTGGAAGGCATAATGATTCATTGGGGAATTCCCGGCCATTTCCTCATGAAGAACCCTCGTGCCATTACCTAAAGCCAAACAAATGGACGGATGAGATATACAGTTTTTGTCCTAATTTCTCTATTTGATTTTATTCGATTTTAGGGTTTAAATTACGTATTTTATATTATACAATAATTCTGCATGTCCATTTATTGGATGATTATTAATTAAAGAATCACTTTAATAGGTTCATGTGAAGCAGCGATGGTAGCAATGAGCATGGCAAAAAGGTACTTTCGGCGATGAGATTGGTAGCGATTATGAGGGCTTTTCTTTTTATATATAATCACTGTTGAACATGACGACAGGATATTCAACATGAAACTCTCACCACCGAATCTCTGTTCTTTCGGGATCTAAGGAAGTAGCTGTGGTGATATGAAAAGCATCAGTCAGAATTTGATCTTTTTTAAAAAAATTGTGAAGTTTTCCGTGGAGTGTTCGATGTTTGGGCATTTGAAAGCGATTTGTCGGAGATCACGACGCTTTGCGGTGCGGAAAACTTGAGGGAGGTGCTTGTGCGCAAGGTTAGTCGTGCTGTTTTTTTTATTGATTGATCCTTGGATTCTACTGCTATTTGGTCCTCTGCGCCTCAATTTTACAGTTCGAGTCGATAATGGAGCGTCTCTATTGTTGGTTTTCACAGAATTTCGGTGAGAGGAAATTGAGAAAATGCGTAACAAAAAGGAGAGAGAAAAATAACTCTGACTGCGTTCAGGTTGTTTTATTTGTTCAGAACAAACTCCTATTTAAAGTAAAAAAGAATTCTAAAATTCGCTGGAGAGTGGCCAACTAAATCTGTGCCACTCCCTTCTAAAACTCTGGTGATCCATTCGACGTGATTTGTCGAATGGTCAAACTCACGATTTTCTGAAATCGTGTGAATAAGAAAAACGGTAAAACTCAGGTTTTATCTAACAATCTCCTCCTAAAACCTGTAGTATATCTACCTTACTATTTGAACTCCGATCTTTGAGCGTAGTTCTTCAAATTTCACCCGCGCCAGGGACTTGGTGAAGATGTCTCCAAGTTGTTCCTCTGTTCGGATGTAATCAATTTTGATGACCCATTTGAGCCCTATGGCTTGGTGTCCCGGCGGCATATCCTCCAGACTCCACGTCTGATTTTTGGTGATGGATGTCATCTCCTCCTGCATTGCCTTCAGCCAGCACGGGTTCTTTTCTGCTTCGGCGAAGGTGTTCGGTTCATCTGCACTGATGACATGTAGTTCGGCCACTTCTTCGAGCTCGCGCACTGCCAGTCCAGGTGGTTCACCTCCTCCTACTAGGTCGTCCATCCTCCGGTACCTGGCCTCCAGATTAGTATCGTGATCGGCATCCAGCGTCGAATCCGCAGTCCGTGGTGTTGCGAATTCCACTAGTTCAGGGGTTGCACCTGCTGGCGGCGGTGACGGCTGCTGATGCTGGGCTCCTCCTTCTTCCGACTCAGTGACGAGGTACTCCACCGTGAATTGATTTGGATTATGGTCTGCCTCGATCACGTCATTCCACTGCCAGAAGGTGCTTTCATCGAAGACGACGTCGCGAGACACGTGAGCTCGCCCCCCTACAGGATCATATAGTCTGTACGCCTTGCTCCCGGGTTCATAGCCGATAAAAACGACCTTCAGCCCCCTAGGATCGAGCTTGGCGAGGTGGGGACGTGTTACCTTCATGTAAGCAACGCAGCCGAACACACGAAAATGATGTACCGCTGGTTTTTTGTTGTACCAGGCCTCATATGGTGTTTTCCCGTCAAGGCTTCGGGTTGGTGACCGATTGAGGAGATATACGGCCGTCATTACTGCCTCTCCCCAGAATCTCCCAAGCATCCCGGCAGTCACCAACAATGACCTTGCTGTCCCGACAATGGTCTGATTCCGGCGCTCCACCACTCCGTTCTGTTGGGGGGAGTAGGGCGCCGTTAGGTGCCGTTGTATGCCGATTTCGTCACAATACTTACCGAAACTTGTCGAGGTGAATTCTCCGCCTCGGTCTGTGCGCAGCACTCGCATCTTCTTCTCACATTCGGCCTCCGCTCGCGCTTTAATGCACTTAACCGCCTCTGCCGCCTCACTTTTCGCTTGCAGCAGGGTCGGCCACATGAAGCGGCTTTTGTCATCGACTAATAGGAGGAAGAAACTCTTACCGCCTGGGGTCGCCGAACTCTTACCGCCTGGGGTCGCCGGCTTGATGGGCCCGCAGATATCGCCGTGTACAAGCTCCAACGGCTCATCGGCTCGATAGGATGTTCGAGACGGAAAGGGTGTGCGCCTCTGTTTGCCGATGAGGCACCCGTCGCACAGCTTGTTCACACCTTTGATTGCTGGCAAACCGTGCACTAACTCCTCCTTCTGTAGTTTTTCTAGAGCAGGAAAGTTTAAATGCCCGTACCTTGCGTGCCACCTCCAAGATACCTCTTCGATCTTTGGCCGAGAGATTGACAGGTTGCTCTATCTCTAACTCCAGGATGTAAAGACGGTTTGTCGTGCGCCTTGCCTGTGTGAGCAGCCGTCGTTGATTATCGCAAATTTTGAGTAGTCCGCGCTCGATGGAGATGAAACAGCCTGTCTCATCGAGTTGACCCAGGCTCACAAGGTTAGCCTTGAGCCTCGGGATGAAGTAGACGTCGGTCAGCTTGCGATGCTCGCCTCCCTTGCTGGCGAATAGGATGGTGCCGCGTCCTTCGATCTCGACGACGGATCCGTCGCCGAATTTCACCGTCCCGCGGATCCCCGAGTCGAGTTCGGAGAATGCAGATCTAGCCCCGGTCATATGGTTTGTTGCCCCTGTGTCTAGGATCCATCGCCGGTCCTTGTGTTGCTCGTCCCGCTCGCTGATCTGAGCGAACACTCGCTCCTCCTCCAGTTGAATTGGTTCCCTAGCTGGTGCCACCTTTGCTACACCCAGCTGGAGCTCTTTCTCGAGTTCAACATCGTTGTTGATTACCTCCATTTCCGTGGATTTGGAATCGAGAGTGGGGACACATGCACTTACCATGAAGAGAGCTGGCTCGTCCTCCTCGGATTGAGCCACATGGGCCTTTTCGGCCTTCTCCTTGTTCCTAAGCTTGCTCCAGCAGTTCCTGCTTAGGTGTCCTCTCTTCCCACAGTTCGAGCAGATTGGCCTGCCATTGGTCGACTCCTTCTTTTGATTCCCATCTTTCCCGCGCATGCGCCCGTGGGAGATCCATGGCTTCTTACCGTCTTTGCGGCTGGAGGAGGACCCGTTGCTCTGGCCGGTGTTGTCACGGAGCTTTAGACGTGCAAACCATTCCTCCTCTGTGAGGAGTAGACGACCCCCCTTGTCGACAGCTGAAATGGTATTTTTCTTCCGCTGCTCGACGTTACGCAGTCTTCCGATCACCTCTTCTACCGTTAGGTCGTTCACGTCAAGCAATGTCTCGATTGAAATCGCAACTTGCTCGAGGTGATCAGGGACAACCTGCAGCATCTTCTTCACGATTTCTGTCTCGCTGATGCTGCCACCAAGTGTGGTGATGTTGTTGGCGAGCCCCGTGATCCGCATTGAAAAATCATCGACGGATTCACCGTCCTTAAAGTGGATCTCCGAGAGCTCCTTCCGCAACTGCTCGATGTTGGATTCCCGCACTCGCTGTACACCGACCCGACGGGATTTGATTCCCTCCCAGGCCGATTGCGCGGTGCGCTTGGTGGAGAGAGATGCCAGCATCTCTGGGGGCACAGATCGTAATATGGCGACAAATGCCAACCGATCCTCACGGTACTCAATCGTTTCTCCTTCCTCTGGCTCAACAGCATGCCATAACCCTTGCGCTTGTAGGTTGACGCGCATCAACAAGATCCATTCGTTATAATTGGACTTTGTCAATATTGGATACTGAACGACGGCAGTCGTTGTCTCCCTGATCACCCGCTCAACGATAACTTGACGCCCTCTTCGAGGCGGCGGTGATGGAGATGTCGGCACACGACGACGGCGTGGAGGAGTGAGTGAGCCTGCCCGAGATGGGCCCCACGATGTGTGTGTTTTTACACTTTGCATTTTCTTCTACTCGAACCTAAGACCTTTGTGATGTTAGGTCAACGCTCTAACCACTTGAGCTATTCAACTTGTTTGTTGATAGGTTGGCTCCTCTGCAATGATATACACCGATCTTCAACTTGGCTCTGATACCACTTGTTGGTTTTCACAGAATTTCGGTGAGAGGAAATTGAGAAAATGCGTAACAAAAAGGAGAGAGAAAAATAACTCTGACTGCGTTCAGGTTGTTTTATTTGTTCAGAACAAACTCCTATTTAAAGTAAAAAAGAATTCTAAAATTGGCTGGAGAGTGGCCAACTAAATCTGTGCCACTCCCTTCTAAAACTCTGGTGATCCATTCGACGTGATTTGTCGAATGGTCAAACTCACGATTTTCTGAAATCGTGTGAATAAGAAAAACGGTAAAACTCAGGTTTTATCTAACATCTATTAACTTGATTCTTTTGTCCTCCCCTGACCGACCGACCTCCTGTCCTTGTCTTTGAGAGATCAGATCGGCCCACTCGCGGGGTGATTATGGCACCACAGCCTCAAATTTCATCGACATTTCACAGCGGAGTGGCCTCTTTTCCACCAATGCCTACAAATCTGGCCGATTGTTCCGGACGGAGATTACAGCGGTCCTAGAATCCGGCGAACACTCGGGTAAAACTCCATTTGCGTACTAATTTCAATAGAAACACTCCCGTTAAACGAACCAACAGGAATGCATTATCACAAGACTTGGCG